ATTCGATTCGGCACAATCTCAGCTCCAGACTTGGTCAACCATGTTCAACCTGTGCCACGCATGATGCAAGATCCGCAGTGCCACAAGCTCCTCGTGGATGCTATGAATTACCACCTGCTCCCCCACCAGCAAAACAGCCTTCAGTCTTGGAGAACCAGGATTCGGGGAGGCCAGAGGGTGCTTGTCACAGTTGGGGGTCGTCCAGCTTTGACTGAGAAGGCTCTTAGCAGGGAGATCAGCTACAGGGACGCAGAGGGAAACTGGAACAAGCTGACGGAGATGCCAGCAAAAAGTTTTAACCAGTGCGTGGTCGTGATGGATGGATTCATCTACGTCGCGGGTGGCGAAGACCAAAATGATGCCAGGAACCAGGCCAAGCATGCCGTCAGCAGCCTGAGCAGGTAAGATGGGCTCCACCTGGCCACGCAGACCCTGGGGAGGGGTTCGGAGCTGTGCTGTGTCTGCCTGTGCCCCAGCATCCCCCATGGGGTTAGGGACGAGCACATCAGAAAGGTTCCTCTTTGCTATCAGTAACCAGGAGGTAGGTCTGGCCTCTGAGATAATGCTGCCAGGGAGGCCCAGCGCAGGGTGCTAGACTGTGAGACAGAAGACCTGGAAATTCCAGGGATTTGGTCTGTGTGACCCTGGCCTGGGCTTCCCTTGGGGACTTTGGCACCTGGGCTGTGCTGCCCACGTGCTCCGGCAGCGCACAGCACTGGTGCCGGAGAAGGGCAAGGCAGGGCCTCTTCGAAGCTTTGAGGCTCCTGGAGAACTGGGAGCCCTCGTTATTTAGAAGTAACCCATTTTGTTACTCTGGGGAGCTCCCCTTTTCGCCCGCTGGCTGTTCCTCCAGCCAGTGCCAGCCTCGATGCTGTCTCTGGTTTGTCTGGATTCATTTTAAGGTAGATTTACTGCCTGTAGGATTCCTGTTGCCCTTCAGGCTTTCTTCTCTCCACCTCCCTTTCTCTCTTCATCATTTAAATGACAAGGTTTGTTTCCTAAATCCCCATAAACCTGTCACTGGATCACCAAGGGATTACTATTCAAAGAAAGGAGGAGTAACCATGGCAACCAGACATGCAGTATTTTGTTTGCAACCTAAACCTGAACTTCCCGGTGGCTCTGCCCGTGGCTTGGCTCAGCCACCTGAGGCTCCACATGCAACATTGCTGGCGCTGCTCGAGGCCAGCCCTTTGCAGCCCCAGCTCACCACCCCTCAGCCAGGAGCCGTCATTGGGCTCTTTCTCCTGCACCAAGTGAGGTTTCAGCGACGCACTGGCAGGTCTTTCTATTTCTGGCCAGTAGCTTATCCACCTTTCCCAGCTTGGCCTTAGTCCCTGGGGCATCGCTCTGGGGACACAGCAGTTCCCGTTCCCTCTGCCATCTCGTGGGCACACAAGGAGCCGGCTTCTTATCACGTGCCTGGCTTTGGCCTGGCAGGGTGGGCAGGGAAGACCTGCCCCTAGGTCCTCTTCTACCTGCCAAGACCCAACAGAGGGGACAGTGACAGTGCTTGGGGACACCTCCGATCGGTAGCACTCGCCATTTCCAAGCCAGGCCGGAGCTTGTGGTAGCAGGAGCAATGCTGGGCCATCCCAAGGGTTAGAGCAGCAACAACCCCAGCAGTCGCAGGTAGGGTCCAGTCCTGTGCAGTGCCGTCGTCTCCATCTGTACTGCCTGTCCAGATGCTTTTTTACTGCTGGAGAAGACAGAGAGGCTCTTCCAGAGCACAAGTTGTCTCCTCTGAAAGCAGATGTCTGTCAGGCCCTGCTTCTCCCCGTAGCTCTGATGCTAGTCCTGGACAGACAGATCTGTCCTTCGTCCCCCAGGTACGACCCGCGCTTCAACAGCTGGCTGCACCTGGCCAGCATGCAGCACAGGAGGACGCACTTCAGCCTGAGCACCTGCAACGGGCTCCTCTATGCTGTCGGAGGGCGCAACGCTGAGGGTGCGCTGGAATCTGTCGAGTGCTACATCCCCATCACCAACAGCTGGCAGAGCAAGGCAAGCCTGGAGATGCCCCGCTGCTGCCACGCCACCACGGTCATCGATGGCAAGCTCCTGGTCACCGGCGGCTACATCAGCCATGCCTATTCCCGCACCGTGTGCTGCTACGAGCCCAGTACCGACACCTGGAGGGAGCAGGCAAGGCTCAGCACCCCCCGGGGCTGGCACTGCGCGGCCACCGTGGCCGACCGAGCGTATGTGCTGGGTGGGAGCCAGCTGGGTCCCCAGGGCGAGCGGGTGGACGTGATGCCCGTGGAGTGCTACAGCCCACTCACGGGGCAGTGGAGTTACGTGGCACCCCTGCCCACGGGGGTCAGCACGGCCGGGGTGGCTCTGCTGGAGGGGCGCTTGTGCCTGGTGGGTGGCTGGAATGAGAGTGGGAAGAGGTATCAGAAATGTGTGCAGTGTTACAATCCTGATCTCAACGAGTGGGCCGAGGCCGAGGACCTCCCTGAGGCCACCGTGGGTGTCTCGTGCTGCACTATCATCCTTCCACGCTCCCCGAGCTCCGGGTCCCGGGCCAGCTCTGTGGCCTTGGCAGCAGCCAGCACGTAAAGAGCCCTGGGTACCACGTGGCTTATGCCAGCAGCTAGGGAAGGAGACAGAGCTGAGGAGTGTGGGGTAGCTGGATGGGGCGGCACGCTGATGTTTAGAGTCACTACAAAGTCTCAAATGCTCTTGTTCCATCATGGCAAGTTTTGGGCTCTAGGAAAGTGTCTTCTGAGCTGCCTGCATCTCCATCCCGCAGCTTAAGCAGAGATTGCTCAAGCCGGGCAGACACGGAAGCAAGCAGGACAGAAGAGCTTTTCTCCTCAGCCTGCAGCACTGTATCGCAGCGTGGATTGGGAAAAAATGGAAAAAAAAGAAGAAAAACAACGTAGAATAATGCAGGAGAAATTGTACTGTAGGAATAGTATCGCAAGACACTTTCAAAACAGTAGTATTGGTATTAGGTACAAGAAAGCAACAGGTCTAGAGCAGACCCAGTTGCTCACGTAGCATTTGTTCAAGGGAAAGACATTTAATATTTACTCATTGAAGCTCGATACCTTCAGACCAGGAATAAAGTGAATCTTGATAGCAAGGAAGAGAACTACTGGAGCAACTCACCAAGATCCCTTGCTCTTCCAAGTGCTGTGCTCTAGCTCAAGCAGAGGGCATCAGGGAAGTGCCTGAGGATGCTATGAGACTCCAGATTTGAGAGGCAAATGGTGCCCTGAAAATAAGTATCAGCTGGAACAGAAGCCCTTCACATCTAAACCAGAAGCTCTCGCAGATATATTCCTAGCCAGGTCCCGTTACTCATACCATCAAGCTGACAGCTTGGTTTTGAACGCAATCAGCGCTTCCCCGTTACTGTAAAAGCAGTGTCTGACCTGTAAAAGGAGAAGCGATTAGGGAACTTGAGTTTCCAGGGGCAAGCACTTGCTCAGTGCCTGGGGTCCCTCCCTGTCACTGCATCTGAGCGAGACAGTTACCAGTCTTTATTAAAACCCTGGCCGCCCTTTCCGAGGGCACAGGGACTGCAGACCCCCCCTTACAGCGCTGCAGAGCACAGTCATGCTCTTGGGCTGAGTACGTCAGGACAAACCACACCACAGCACTCCAAACCCTGCCCCAGCGGGTCTGAGATACAGCCCCAGAGCAGTGATAACCTCTGACGAGCAGGAGACGAGCGAGTGGTGGTTATTTCCTGGTCTCAAAGCCACGGTCATCACACAACAGTCACCTGCTGAGGGCAGCATCTTCTGATAACAGGTCCTGTTACTGGAGCACATTTACACGTGATCCTAGACTGGCTCATCACCTTCGTCTCAGGCCAAGGCAGCTACACGCTGCTGAGCATCCAGGCAAACGCTCTTGTTTTTTTTCCGGTCTTTTTTTGCACAACACAGTGAAATCGCACCCCAGAAGCCAATGAGCCACTCAAGTGAACCCCAACGTGCCCTGAAGATGCCAAGACAAGAGCTTCAGCAAAGCAGGCTGGTCTTCACTTCCTTTCACAACTCACCAAAACTGAGCAGCCTGCGGTAGTTACAGTTCACATAAAGGTACTGATCTTTCTCTGAGAATTCACGATCTCAGTTAAGAGTTCACATTAAGCACAAAGCTATACCGAGGCAGAACATCATTTCTGTTCAAATTCTACTTTCCTCTGTGCATTTCAGCATGCACAGTACACGCTGCCCTGTGTATTTTGGAGTGGGCTCCATCCTGAACAGCGCTGGCAGCCTCCCCTGGTTTACAACTCCAACAGGCTTGACAAGGGAACAGTCTAGTCTTTCAGTCAGCACCGCACAGCCACTGATGGTGGAGTGGGTGCAGACTTGTATGGAAGTGAGTTTGTTCCTTAACTTATTTTAACTTTTTACTGCAAGATGCAGGAGAGGACCGAACACTAGAGGCAGAAGCAAGGATATTGCTGAACTCCACTTGTGTGAGCTGTATTGTCCTGCAGGGAATTTTCTCTTTAAACAATAAAAGCCATTCCTTTGCATGGGAAAACTGTCTGGCTGTGTAATTACAGCAGTGCACGTTCACTCTCCTGAAACATTTTAAGAAACCAGTCAAGATTCATCCTCTACATTCCAAGCACATCCAGCAATTGCTTCAGGATTTCCACAGCACATTGAGAGCACCACGATCCGTGGGGTAGAAACAAGTCTACCAGCTGCAGGTACAGGCACTCGAGGTCACTCACACCGCCCATGGAAGCGGCGCAGATCAGGGGTTTCTGCTGGCTGATCACAGCCCCCTCTTGTGGCACCAGAATTGAATCCTAGCTCAGGAGCCTGGCCAGTCCCCCAGCACTGCCAGCACCACAGGCCTTGCCCACCCCCTCAGCCCCTTCCAACCAGTCCTGTCATGCTTGCTTAGACAAAGAACCCTCAGCCACATTTTGGCTTTATAGCTCTGCTTTATTAAGAGGATACGTGCACCATTTCCTTTGGCTTCCCATTGAAGAGCCCCCACAAAATTCACAACGGAAGTGAGGGGTTAGAAAATTTTATTTGCTTTTTTGGTAACAGGAACAGCTCATTTACCAGGAAGGATGATGCCATCATACTGTGAGGGGGAAAAAAAAAAAAAGAACCAAGTGAGAAAGTACCATCAGGTAAAGGTGCAGAAAACGGAGTCACCACATCCATTCCAAGCCAGCCAGACTACACTGACATGGAACACCAGTTCTCCTGCAGCTGACTGCCTTTCTACTTTGCTGCTGTGCTGTTAACTTCCAAGTGGGGCTTTGTTCGGATAAGCATTAAACTCCGCTCATCAGCCCAGCGAAACAAGCAGCCCCACCCTTCACAGGCTGATCTGACCAGAACTACACTTGTCCCTTTTACAGTCCCAGGATTTGGCCCCTGAAGGTAACTGTGCCACAGGTGAGCAGAACCAGGCATGAG